TATATATATATATATACATATATATTATGAGGTATGTATGTAAATTTCTCATATTTAAATATTAGCTGTATAAATATATTGAATAAAAGGCTTCACCACTAAAAACAAGGAGAAATATGAGAGGGATATGCAAAGAAGATTCCAAAAATTGAAGGAATCATCAAATTTAAAAAAAATGATTATTCTAAAATGTAAGAATCTTATCACAAGGTAGGACACTGAATAAACATATTACAAAATTTTTCTAAGAACAATAAATATGAAAGGTAAAAGCCAAACGTTAAACTGAACAATTGAGTAAAAATATCATGGAAATGTGATAATAAAACCAGCAAGTCATAGAAGCCACTAAATAGTGCGGTAAGATAAGTGATTAGACGAGGAATTTCCTTTAGACTTCCCTCTTCTATTTTGTTGTTTAATTAACTAATGAATGTTTTGATAAGCACACAATAGGGGTAAAATCATTCTCAAAAACTCTATTAATCCTTTCATACCAAATAAAACAAAAAACAATCTGCATAGCTAATAAAAAATACCTTGGAGTAATCTTACAAGTCAAATTTTCAAAGTGATAAATGACTAGGTAAAAATCATTAGGAGCTAAGAAGAAAATCCATTAGGAATACACAGCTTGAGTAAATAATGAGAGAAAATTCATTCAAAGAAAAGATGGTTATGAGACTTTAACTCATTATTACAAAGGCAACAATACAAGTTATTCATAACACCTTTATTGGAAAACATATTAACCGTTTTAAGACCTCTATGATGAATTTTACAAGAATGAAAAGTAAATTTGATAACATATCATTAAACCATACCCATTTGCACCAATATTTTTGAAGGCAAATTTTACGTAAATCAAAATAAATAGATTTATGCGAGTAATAGTCGATCCATTTCCAGTTACAAGTAAAACCCTATGTAATAAGAATGTCCAAATTATGGCTAATGCATTGGGAATGAGCATTAGAATTAAAATAGATATTCAAAGTCTCATTGGAAATGATATCAGAGAGTTTATTAAACTTAAGGTAATTGAAAAAAAAGACTAAATATCATTACCAAACTTCTCATAAAGAAAAAAACCAGAAAACTAAAAGTCAAAGTAGAATAATAAAGAAATCGAATTAGTAACTTTAATTGCTTGACAATTCATAATCTTAAAAGCAACATTAACCAAATCTTTTCAAAAAATATAAATAGAGGATTTGGATTTGAACCAAATAGAATCATAATGATTAAAATAACAATGATAAAATAGAGAATTATAGTTATGAATTCTCCAAATCATCTTAACTTTGCACATAATATTAATAGAGTCTAAGTAGAGGAGACCAAACCCTTCTTTATGCTGAGAAAGAGTTAAGGTTTTCCATGAAATGATATTCAAATTCCTTTCTTTATCATTATGGCGATAGAAATTATTAATTGATGACAAAATATTCTTCTTTATCACTTTAGGCAAAGTGCAAGGATGAAATCATTGGTAGAGATAACTCCAAAAAATATATTTAATCAATTGCAAACAACCAGCTGCGGATAATAATTTTTACTTCCAACCCTCCAACCAACCATAAAGCTTATCACGTAGTTTATTGCAATTATCGGACTCAAGCTTGAAAGGCTTAATTATAATGCCTAAATACTTCCAAGGTAATGGTTTAATAGTGAAGCTAGAGTAAAAGCAAATATCATTCTGAATTTGAACCTCAATATATTTAGAAAAAAATTAGCAGACTTAGTATAATTAAAATACAAATTAGAAGTGTTACTAAAGTAATTTCAAATATGAGAAATACAAAAAAAATAATTGATATTAGCATTACCCAAAACATAAAGATCATTCACATTGATTATTTAAAGTATTTGTAGAATTAAAACCATTAATGATGTTACTATAAGCATTTAAATAACTAGATAAAGCATTCATGATAATAGCAAAAAGGATAAAATGAGAGAGGGCAACTTTCACTTAAACTAGAAGAAGAGAAGTAACATTTCAATTCGCTATTAATAATAAATGAAAGGTAACAGCAAAAATAAAAACCTTAATTCACTTAGCAAGGATAGGTGGAAACCCCTCTCTATCCTATCATAAAGAAAAGGGTGTTGAAGCTTGGGTTATTAGAGCTTTACTGGTTTGTCCAATTTTCTTGCTTACATGCCTTGCTTTCTCCTTTCTAGCCAAGTAATCTTGTTTAGTTGCTTTGCTTGTTTGCTGTCAAGGTGATATCTTTGAGAATATTTTCTGCTTGGATTTCAAAAAAAAAGGAATGGAATGTTGATCATTTAGATATGTTGGAACTAGCCTCCATGCTTTATTTATTTGTCTTACTTTAACATATCTCTACTCTCCTCACGCATCGTTTAATTTCAACCCCATGTGATGACTATTGAGTGTTTGAATGTGAGGGATGTGAGACCTCTTTTCCCCTAGGCTGTTGGAGTTTCGCTATTTGGTTACTTCTTGTTGCCTTGGGATTCAAATATTGTTCCTTAGCTCTGCGTACATTTGCTGTTTTGAAAGAATTTAGGGGGGTAAGACTGTTTTGTTTCGGTATCTTTGTTGTCTTCAATTCAATATTACGACCATTTTGGAGAAGGTTTGAATGCCTTTTTGGGTTAATTATGTACCGCTTTTGAAGAAGATTTGAGAGCTGTTATTGTGGATTTGAATCAAGGTAGTTTTGGAACTATTTGTTCTTGGCTTAGAATATTCAAACATAAAGATCCGACACTTTTCTTTGATATCGAGGGCTAAGCACTGCACAACCATCCTCACTTTTAGGCTAATGTGTTTCGAGCGCATTTGAAAATTAGCCTGAATCTCATCTTTTACAAATTCGTGCAGGTTGATTTTATGAAAATACCTTTGCCTAAATAATACCCTTAACACCATTTACACTTTAAAAGTAGCCCATCATGTTCTTGATGATGTACCTCTTCACTTAGCTTTTAAGCACCTGCTCTAGACCATCCTTTTGAGCATGCTTTCTGGTTAATGTGGAGATGGATATTTTTTTTTAAACCATTTGTATTTATGCAGCTCCACATATTTAACACCTGAGTTGCAATTTCATATATGATATATTGCCCATATTTGAGATATGTATTCCACTTTGTTAAGTCAAAGTAAGAGTACTTTCAATGCGATCTAAAGGACTTGGGAGGTGCAAGTGTGAAAGGTAATGTTTAGGTGTCGGAGATGTAAATGCGTGTATATAGGAATTGAGTGGTGTCTATGAGCATTTGTCATATAAATACGGAAGAATCAAGTTGTAAGCATGTAAATTCCGGTGCTTTGCTTATAAAAGCTTGAAAGTTTTGAAATTTTGAGAATTTGAGTGTTTTATTTTTAAAAATCTGCAAGAAGTTTTGGTGTTCGATTTGTACAAATTTGCAAGTTTTGGTTGCCTGAATCATATGAGAACTGCACATACATGCCACTTAATTCTTTACATATGTGCCACTTAATTCTTCACATACATATCACTCAATTCTTTACATACTGAAATTTTAAAGGCATCGAGATGCTTGCATTTGTTGTTCATACATTCTCCATATCAGAAAATATGGCTGAATTTATCGAAAATTTGAAACATTTCGATATATGAATCTTGCTGTAAATCTCACTAAAATGCTAGGATCATTGAGCAGCCTTCATCATTTGTGGTTCTTAATCTATAAAATGTGGTCGAGGGATCTTTTTCTGGTGATTTCTTGCATGACAATGTGAGTGTTTTTTTTTCCTTTCTAAATTGGCCCCCTAAACTGCGTCACTTTGAATTGCCCTCAAATACATTTTCTAGTGCACCTGGAATTGGGAAATTAAGGTCACTTTAAGAGCTAAATGAGTTTAGTGTTAATAATGAATAAGAATGAATGAGAATGAATGAGAATTGTTATCAAATTGGAAAGCTGGAACATATGAGCAAGTTGCGCAAATTAAAAATACATTTTTTGGAGAGTGTGAGGGCTGCAGTTTCTGAGGCTCGTTTGTGGCTTATTTGAGGGCTCTTTTGACCATGGCTGTGAGAAATGCACTTTTATTACTGCCTTAAAATTTCGCATGGCTTAATTGTTGTTTTATCCAAGCTGTACTATTATTCATTGAAGCCTGTTTGATGCCGATTTGCATGACGATTAAAGGTTGTGTTTGCCCAAAATTATATCGTCTCTTCTACTTGGGAAGGTTTACATACATACCACTTAATTCTTTTGGATGTACTGTCTAATATTTAAACCCCGATTTTACATACATGCCATATGTTTCTTATGTGTTTACATATTTAGGACCAACACATTCACATTTACATGCATGTAATTCAAATTTTTAACACCTCACATGAAAAATACCACCACTGTTATCACTTTCATGGGTGAAATACATCTTTTCATGCATAGGTTTGCTTTGTGAGTGGATATATCAAACTTTGGGTGTTAGATATGAAAATAGGTGAGAATTGGGTAGAATTGTGTGGCATGTAAATGTACTTGGGTAGTGAACTTTATCTAATTTGGAGGTAACTATTTTATTTGATTTATCCTATGCTTGCTACGTTGGTCTCCTTTGCTCAAAGCAGCATATAATTTGGAAGATTTACATGCATGCCACCTTTCCTTCTGTATTTAATTGTCTAAAACATCAAAGAAAAAGGAGAAATGGAAACTTTTATGATAAGAATTGTTTGCAAAGGAATATTTATCCAAAGAACCTA